AAGCAACCATGAATGGTCATGAAAACTGTAACTTGAAGCTGGGCAATTCGCAAAATCCTATGGTTTAGATCTGAGACTTGTAGCACCAACCATCCGTGAGTTATGATCACGAACAGGGGTAAAATGAAAAAAAAACATTTTTCACCTTCGAGCAATTTTTTGATTCAATAGCCAAAGCGGAGATCCTTTGAAACTTTGCGCCAGATAAGATAATCAGTTTAACTTTGATAACATATTCAAGTTATTCCGTTACATCTGGGATGAGAACTCCATGTAAATCACTCAGTTTTAATTATAGTTCTGAAATTGCATCAAGTTGGTCTTGAATTGAACGATTTCACTTTTTTAAAAATTTCAACTGATCAATGGTAAAGCTGAAATTATTGAGTTAATTAAATCGCAAACTATTGAAGGTTCAAACTTGATACAAATTACCTTAAGCCTTTACAATCATAATTAGCCATTTTTCAAGTGTAACATAACTTTCAATTTTCATCGTTTGTTACTAAGCCAATGACATCTTTTCAACTTATGCCAACCCTTTCAAGTACAATATTTGTATTTCTAATCTTAGCTTCTGGTAAATTTATTCAATTCTGTCACGAGTTGGAACTTTTAGCATTTACAGAAGCTAATGATTTCCGATTGCAGGTGTTGGTGCAAGGAAAATTGCAATTGATCGATAAATGATCAAATTTTTTGGTCTTATAGACAGTTGTGATCAAATATTGAGTCAAACTCATAATCATTTTTGACCTTAAATTTTACTAACTTTTCTCAAACTGCAATAAAAATTGGAAACATTAAATTTTAATTCTTTTTCTTTTCACTAACATTATCTCGATAATACCGTTTAATGATCTTGTAAGAAGAGTAAGAAACTTGGCGAGTGAATATCGATCAATGTTAATGTAACTTGCACGTTAACTTTATTCAAAATGTCCTTCAAAGTTGCTCCACTTGCTCCATTCAGTCTCAGTTGATCTCATCTTCTAGACTTTGTTTCTTCTCATTCTATCATCTTCATTGACTTCCTTATTCTTTCGTCTTTTTTATTCTGTCTCAAGTTCATCCTCACTAAGATATTAATCAATCAAAAAACATTTTCTTTTCGTTGTTGCTTTCCATTCTCTTCCTTGTTGCTTCTATTATTATTATTATTATTATCGTCTGCTCTTTTCATCGATTTATGGTCCTATTCCAAGATTATTTGTTATCCTTTATCATTCGAACCATTTCTTGAAACTCTTTTTTTCCCTTTCATTTTCTGGTTTTTCTTTATTCTCATGGCCTTTTCCATGAATGGATCATAATTTCTCTCATCTCTTGACCAACAAACATTGACTTTTCCGTCAACTTGACAGAAATAGTTGAACACTTTTTTGTGTAAATTTAAAAGATTCATTCAACTCTTCACCTTAAAGTACATTTAAAGTTGAAATCAATTTGATGACTCGATTTTCATCAATTATTTTCCGATAAATGATTTTCTTCAACTCAAAGTTAATCATTTAAAAAGAACTTTCTTTTCTTATTTGACTTTTCTGTCAGCTCGTTTTCTACATGAGAGTTTCCCCAAAACTCAGTTTACATTCACTTCAGATTCAACTGTTGATAAGACGAAGCAACATGAGCAAAAAGAGTTTCAACAAAATAGTAACTTTGAAAAGATTTCAGATAATGTCCATCAATGTTCAAGTTTTGAGAAAAAATTATTATGATTGATCAAAGGAAGGGAAAGAAAAGCAAAAAGTTCAACTTTGAATATCATTCAACACTCTTCATTGTCCAAAACTATCAATGTCTAGAGAAGGGTTAAAAAGAAGAGAAAAAAGAATTACTTTCTGGAATAAAAAAAGATTTTCAACAAAAAAAAGTTGAAATAAACTTTCAAAGAGTTGATCCAATTGTTGACCCAAACAACCTTATTTGTTATCATCCAGAGATGTTCATTTTGTATCAAGAAAAATGAATCAATTTTCTTTCTCCATTTTCACTCCTTAATAAGTGTTGCCAAACAATTGTAATACCATGAAATGGCGAAAAAGAAAAAATGAAATTCCCTTTAATGAACCAAACAAAAGCTGATAGTAATTAGATAAAAAACAATTGCTTTTCTTTTCTCCAATTGCGACCATTCGATGGACTTTTGATGTTCATCTTGCCTATTAACGTCCAAACTGTTGGTACAAATTTCAATTTACTTTCATGATATTTACTGGGAAAAGTTTTTCTCAAGATTCCATGAAAATTAGAAAAAGTTCATCTTGTGATAATTGATTATTTCTTTGCTTCTATTACTTTTACTGATTAAAAAAGGTTCAACTTTTAATGAGCTCAGCTTCTTGTCTGATTAACTTTTGTAAATATCAAACTGCAACAATTTGTTGATACATTTTTTTCATGTTTATTAATCTGTTTAGAGGAGCAAAAAAATGAAAAGTAAAATGTCATTAGTGAAACAAAAAAGGAAAGTTGAAAAGGCAAAGAAAAATGTTCAATTTTGCTTCTTCTAAAATTATCCCATTACAAGTGTAATTAAATGTTTATCAATTGAAATTGTTGCTACTGAATGGTAATTAAAATAATTTTAGATAATTAAATGTCCATTAAAATTGTTTGTACGGCCGTCTGGTTCCTTTACTGTTGCTTTCATAGGAAAGACAAAAGATGATCAAACATATTGTTCAATGCTAATGGTCCAACAAAGTAATATTTTATGTTAATAACAAGCTAAATGAATATTTACTTTTTCCTTTATATTGATTCAATATAACAATTTGAATCATTTAATAGACAAATGGACAACTCTAATTGGTTTTGATAAACAAACTAAACTCATTTTCGAACAAAAAGTGTCTCAATTTTCAGGAGAAAATGGAAATTTTGAATTTTCCCTTTTTCTATTCAATTACAGTTCGATTTTGATTTTTTTTTGTAAATGAATTTATTCTTGGATTTGGACAAAAGTTGTTTTTGTTTTGAAGATGAATCGATTAAGAAACTTCATTGGCTATCAAAACCTTGTTAACCTTCTCATGTGAGATTATCATGAAGATTATCTTTTGATGAAAGAGTTTAATTCGTTCGAGTTGACACTTCCTTGTCTCAACTGTTTACACTTTGATTGATGGTAAATCTATAAATAAAAACAAGAAGGAAAAAAAGTTCTACATTCTTCTTGAATCACGTTTTCTCGTTTGAAAATATCACCTTTTCATGATGACTCTATCATTTGGAAATGCTAATGAATTTCATATCGAACGATCGTTGATGACTTTTGACGAAAATCGAGTTTGGAAACAAACATTTTATCATTTGAATTGGAAATGAAACAAAGTTTGAAACATTGGTCAGCAATGAAATAGACAATTAGAGAATGAAAATTATCATGATTTCATCCGGAATTTATTTACAAAGCTCAGGGAATCTCGAGTTTTTTTTGTGTGAAAAAAACGATATCAAAGTTATCTGTTTACTTTCTTTGTTAAGTTGTTTTCATTCCATTTCATCTTGAACTTATTTCTTGTTCACAAGCTATTATTGCTATTGTTATTATTATAACCTTATTGGTTGCGTATTATTCCTGTCTGATTAAAGATATTGTTTCTTTATCTGTTTTTGTTAAAGGATAAATTGATTGTTAAAGAGTGAAACTCACAGAATCCTCAACTTTTCCCTGTAATGATAACAAATAAAATATTATCTTATCGTTCAATGTGATAATAAAGATAGAAGTTAACATTATTCTACTTTTCATTCTTGTTATAATAATAATCACTCCCAGTGTTAATAGGCATGTTTTGCTCGCAATTTGGGGAACAAGAAAAGTTTTCAACTAAATTCATCTTTCATTGTTTCGAGATAACTTTTATTGTTCAATCATGACTCAATGTTCTGATCAGGAAAAGCTATTTTTAACTTTAACTCCAATAATTGACAAAAATATTTCAATATTCAAAATCCAGGAAAATTCAAAATTCGTTCAACTTCGTTTTCCAAAGATTTAGTTAAACTCTTAAGACTTGAACTTCAATTATTCAGTTAAATCATCAAATCCTCACAGTTGCAAATTATTTCCATCGAAGTTCAAGTTCATCTCATAACTTTAAAATCAAAGTTGAAACTTTTCAACAATTCCATTCTTCATGAAATGAACTTCAGATTTTCAAAAACATTGATTTCCATAACTCGAAACAGGGAAGTTCAGATGATTAATTAAACCTGGAAATATTTAGTTTTGACCAATTTTGAGGTCATTTTGTTAAAATTGTAAATTAATGATTAAAGTAAACGATAAATGAATGAAAAATTGTTCAATTGTATTAACTATTTAATATGTAATCCAGATAATTGGTTAAAAGTTTAACAAAATGAATGGAAATGTTAATATTAATAAATGTACAAACTGATGATTCTCATTATTTATAATAATAACAATGATTACAGAATAAGTTAATAATGATAACAATAAATGATGCAAATAGAGGCTAAAAAAGATTCACTGAGGACCCACAAAAATCTAAATAAAAATGGTTTTGTTTGTCATTCGCAAGATAAATTAGTTAATATACTTGTACAATCAATCAATTTGAAGAGCGTAACAATTGAGTTTGGGGAATCTTTTGTTTCGTTTATAAATACAAATTGAGAAATGAATTTGCTTTCAGAGTAAATTTATCAACTAATTGTTAATAATATATGTTTATTGATTGATGAATTAACCAATAAACTATGAATTATTGACAGAATAATAGCTTGGGGATAATCATGGTTTCTCGTCCAATAAAGATTCTTTTTTTTCGATGAACACTTTTTTTCCATTTTATGTTAACAGTTAATCTATTAATGACAAATTCATTTAAATTGTTGCTTTTTCATGTTAAATATTCATTGTTCTGTTTGTAAGCACTTGAATTGATTTGTTTGGCACTTTACTTTTTTTTGCTCGTTAATTATTTACAAATTAATTTAATTGTCTTTTCCCTTTTGATTCACAGAGACAACCACTGAACTTGAAAGTAAGTCAAAGTTGATTAAGACAAATCATGAACCAAGCAAAGAGGAAATTTCATTGGAAAAATTAATTCAAACCTCAAGTCAAATCCAGAGTATACTGAATACGGTAGGAAATGAAAAGTTATTTACATTTCTTGTAATGGCTTTTGTACGAGATAATAAAGGTAATATTGAACAGTGCTTAGCCAAACTCAAGTTAGGTAAGTTGAAAATTCAATTCTTTTCTCATTTACTCACAATTATCATCAATTGATATCGATGAATCGATGGATTTCAGGGTTACTTGTTCATGCGACTTCCTTATCGAAATTAAATAATCAATGAAAACAAAAATAACTTTGACATTCAGTGCAAGATGGTTAAACTTTAATTTTGTTCAAAAAATGATAAAACTAACAAATCGAATTATGTAAAAAATGAAAATTCAACGAAAGTTAACATTGAAAAGAAAGGTTAACAAAACGTAATCGAACACTTGCTGTTGACAACCAGATTAAAATACTTCGAATGCATGATAATTTCGATTTTCTGCAAAAAGCTGTTTGGATTGTTTCAATTCTTTGCTCAAAATTTTTGGTTCGACGTTGAATGAACTAGAATTTTTTCAAGATTTCAGTCTCAAGTCGATCGAAAGTTGAAAGTCAAAATGATAAAATCTCCTAATTTCATGATAATGTTAGAGAAGACTTTTGCGATAGATTTTAGTAAAACGAAAATCAACATTGCAAAGAAACATTTTATTCAAATGTTCTAGTTCTGTCATTTGTCTTTGTATTAACTGGACGTCTTTGTGGTTGAAGCCACGAGTCTCAGTCTCGGTAACTGTTCTTTCGAAGCTGCTTCGACTATGATTTTTGATTCTTTTGCTCAAACTTTTGAGGCTCTAGAATTTTCGAGATTAATATTTGAAAGGAATCGATCGGAGTGACAAGAAACTCGTGCATGCATTATGAGAATCATTAATGAACGAAATGAGGAAAATTAAGAAATGCATTATTTTGAAATGTGAACAGACCAATGAAGATAATGAAAGTTTGTGAAGCAAGGATAAATGATAATAGTTGCAGCTTATCTGGATAAAGTAATATTTGTTCTTATTGCTGTTCATTTCACCCAATCTCGATCTAATTGAGCAAATTTATTTTTCTCTATTAAATTAATCTGTATTGGTCACTTTAACTATTTATTTTTATTAAGATATCAACGAAGAAGAAGAAGAAGAAAAAAACAAGAAAAGGAAAAGAAGTGAAAGAAAAAGAGAAAAAATCTCACGAAAAAAAATTCTCATCTCATCATTTTTATCCATCAGCATTTTCCAGTTTATCCATTCTTATCCTTTTAGCATCCATCATAATCATTCATCATCTTTCGAAGAAAAAAATTCGTTTTCGTTCCATCACACAACAAATGAAAAGCACAATCGAATCCCAGCATTTCAAGTAAACTTACTTTCATTCACAAACGAATTTCGTTGTGATGTTTCCAACGATATTTTGTCCTGTTTTTTGCAACAACTTTCATTTTCCTAATCAAAGTTGACACTTTTCATCAGACGAATTCAATTTACTTAATTTCAAGTTTAATTGCAACTTAGCCTGTCACCCTGTTAACCTGTCAAAAGAGTTTCATTGTTTTTAATAATCTTTTGACATTTGCATACTTAATCAAACTCTAATCAAATGTTGGTCCAATTGGTTGAAGATTATTACAAAAATTAATCGAACATTCGAATGTGAATTTGTCGAAAGTGAAACGAAAAATTTTTCACAATTAATTTACTTTAGACACTTTTTCATTCAACAGTTACTTTGTTTTTCGTCAAATTTGATTGTTGCTTTGAATTGCAATTGATTTGATATGATTAATGAAAGTTGATTGGCAGTTGAAGTTGAATAACAATCAAAATGGTTCAATTGTTAACTCATAATCTGTGAGTTGAAATCCAAATGGAAGGGAAAACATGGAAATGAGGATGAAAAAGGTGAACTTGAAGCCTATAACTTTACTCGAGACGACCTATAACATTGAACAGATAGTGATGCGGAAGAAGATGAAGATAATTCATCATCATGAGGTTCAATGAGACTGAACATAAAGTATTCAAAGGTTTGTAAACCACAAAATTTAACAACAAGTCAAATTGCAACAAATTTTTTCTTTCAATTCTTTTTACTTTTTTTCTCTCTCTTCATTCCCCATTCAAATCGCAATTTTTGTTAACAGATTTTTGCCTTCTATTTATTTTCATCATTTTGCCAGTTGTATCTGATTGAATAAGGTAAAGCAAAAGGTAAACCTTTCTTGATTATCATCAATGGAATGGAAAAAATTTACGTTCGTCTCTATCAAGTGAAGAGTGAAATGAATCGCAAGTGAATCAGGGTTAAACATGGTCAATAAAAAAGTTTCATTGAGCGAATGAATTTTAAGAAGCTGATTGATTGCTTGAAAAGCTTTGAATACATTTTCACAATTTTAGTCTTTTTCAACATTCTTTCTATTAGAATGCAAAACTATAAAGTAAAGTGTATTGAAATTAGTCTCATCTGATGAATAACACGCTTTTGTAAACGTAAATATTCAGTTGAGTCGAACTTTCTTTTCATTTCGAAGCAACAGTTTCTTCCATCAATGCTTTTCGATATTCACTTGAATCTAAATTTTTGCCTCTTTCAAACATTCTTATAGTTTCAACCATCATTATAAAGTCCATTTTGGTTGAGGAAATCATAAATTTCATGTTCTAACCTTTTCTGTGGTTTTGGCAAAACCTAATCATATGCGATTCGATTGAAGAAATGATCATGAAATTACTTGATATTTTGTTCGCAAGTGGAAAATGCTTGAGATCATAATTCTGTATCAATATGAACATCGATTTGAAACAAGTTCTGATCTGAAAAGTTGCGGTTTGAGAATATGTTGAAACAGAAAAATGTTTATTCGTAAATTTTCATTTCGATTATTTAGTTGTTCAAGATTAACATTTCATTTTCATGTCTGTATGATTTCGTCCATGATTCAACCTTGAGCAAAAATATTATAAGTTAATGAGAAGTATTGGGTTAATCAGAGAAGTACGATTGGAACTTTGGTAATAATTTATTGAGAGAAGGCCATGCATCAGAATATATCGATAAATTCTTTGGCTATCTTAACGAATTTGGTTAAATTAGCAAAAAAACAATTTCGTCTGGAATGCTTCATGGCCACAGTTAATGTTTCATGTTGAGGTTGAAGTGAATCAATGGGCGGAATTCGGTCCAATTAAATGAAAATTATCAGATAAATTGTTGAATCATACAGATTAAGTTGAGACAGACAAACGTTGGTGGGAAACATGGCAAGTTTATTGAGCCAAAAATGTATAAAAAAGCCATGATAAACATTATTCTGTTTACTCAGAGCAACTGAGTATTATTGGTACACATTGAAACTTGATATGATTATTATGATCATTATGAATAGTTTCACCTTGAAAGTGATTCTTGAAGCACTCAAGACCCAAGATAGTTTCTAGACTATTGAACAGATTCAATGTGAGCTTCTAGTCACCAATAAACATTTATTTATAAACATTACGATAAATCATTGAAAAGTGTTACCTTATCATTGAAGTGCGATAAATCCATTTAAAAAGATCTCTGATAAATCTTTTAGTTTCTTCTCTTCGAAACTGTCTTCTCGGTAAATCCTGATGGTTCAACCCAAACCCTAACTCATCCATCAGCCTAAAAATATCTCAATCTCGAAATGCAAAAATGCAACATTCGATTCTCAACCGAACGAGAAAAAAAACTCAAAGTCACTTGTTAATTATAGATATAAATATCATTCCCAGTGAAACAGTAAATCACCTTCAATAATCACTATTTGATGATTGTAAAGCAAAGTTTCAATTCTTCACCTTCACGCAACATTTCAGTTGAATTATATCAAGCTGAACAATGAAAGTAAAGAAGCTTAACAATGATTCAATAAACTGCAATATCTGAATAAACAGATAAGTTGAAAAGGCAAAACTGATTTTCAATTGAATTTCATTTTCTCTTCAAGTTACATTATTTCATTATGAAAGCATAATAATATCGATCGAAACCCAAAACGAAACAATAAATCTGAAACATTCCAATAACTCTAAACATTGAAGCAAACTGGAAATGAAAAAACATTAAACCAATTGACCTTCAAAAGTATAATAATGTAAACCCTTTTCGTGTTTCGAGGAAAGGAAAAGTTCACAGATGAACATTTCATGAATGAAAGTATTTAATAACGCACGTTCATCCCATAATAGCTCGAGATGAGAAATGAAATTGCTCGTGAAATTGGCTTAATATTTACTCCTTTCATAACTCTTGTCTCTCCCAATGAGTTCAATTTAATCTCATGAATCCCTGGTGTGTATTCAACTGGTTGAACTTGTAAAAAATCTCTTTTTTTACTGAGCAACTTTCTTCTTCTTCTTCCTCATCATCTGATAATATGTAGACAATGATGATAATAAGAGAGATAAATGTTTGTATATTCACTGGCAAGTTTAATATTGCTCAGCCATTTAGGAATGAAAAGGTTGCTTTGCTTTTCCTCTTCAATCTCGTTTCAACTGAAATATCTTTTTCTCGCATCTTTCCTTTCATCTCGAGAATTCACTTTCTTGCTCTTTTTTTTACTCAGACAGGGAGTGAAATTGTTCAAACTTTATCTTCGTCTTCTCCTGCTGAGATTGCAACACTATCTTATTTTTTTGTTTCGTTGCCATCTTGTTTCTGATTATTCTGAGTAAATATTTTTTTCTTCGTCTTTTTTTCCCTCTTTCCACGACCAACCATTGTTGACCCACTTACAACACTTGTTGAAATGAATATGCTTCGAATATGAATGAAACTTCATTTCAGGTTATAATTTTTATTCTTTTCATTTCACTTTTTTCCATTTCTGCATTTTTCACCTTTTCAGTAAACATATGAATCCTTATTTTTTGCTTAAAAACTCAACTCCAATTAGCTATAAATAGACCTTAATTTAGGACAACTGAACGTTGAACGACTTGAGATAAAATCTCGAGTTCGATGTAAACTTATAGTTTATAACGAGTTGAGAATGAAACATAATAGTTCATAAACTAGCTCTAGATTTATAATGAAACACGCATGAAGAAATCGCCATCGAATATTTTAGTCGGAAAGATCTATGATAA